CTCTCTCTCTCTCTCTCTCTCTCTCTCTCTCTCTCTCTCTCTCTCTCCCCCCAGTATGTGGACCTGAACTCATCCCGTAACCTGCTCATCCTCGGCTTCTCTACCTTCAGCGGTCTCGTTTTACCGACCTGGTTTCACTCCAACCCCGGCATCATTGACACAGGTGATTGTGAGACATTCACTCACTCATGCACACATTAAGGACTCAGCCCCTTCAAATGGGATCAACCCTTGAGTTTATTAAAAACATCTACAGACATTTACACACATGTAGAATATAATGAGTTAGTTTATCTGGCGACTGTCAATACCAAAAGATCCAGACTGGAAATGACTCGATCAGATCAGTCGTCAATGCCTAAATAATATTTATAATGGGCCCAATATTTGTAATTTGTCTCCCCCGCCCTTACTCACACACTCACACTTACTTTTTCTGCAAAGATTGAATTGGCAAACACACCGAAGTTCTAAATCCTTGTCAGAGGTCCTCTGACAGTGAGTGGGAGGCTGTGTGCTCCCACTGCTCCACTTACAGATTATTCTAAAAAAGGCCTAAGCTTCTAAAGCCAAGGCATCCCAAATCCAACAGGCCCAGATGGCAAACACTTGGTTACCTTCAGTCTTTATATCTTGACTCCAAATAGGTTTATAGGTCGGTTTATATGACAATTGGTGAGGGTCAAACCAATTGTCATATAAACCGACCTATAAACGTAACCCTAACCCAGTTAATGGGTCCAGTTTGTTGGGTAATTTAAACAGCACGGACATGTAAAAAATACAAAAGCAAGATCACTTGCATTTAAAGTTAAAGGTTTTCTGCTTGACTTTTATGTTTTTTTTATTTAGGAAAAATTTTGATTTTCATGAAAAACTATTTGAAAATACATTTTTATTTTTTACTGAAAACTGCCATGCTTTTGCTCTTCAGCTGTCGTGTGGTAAACTCATCTGCTACGTCACATCAATTGTCAAAAGTTCTGATAATTATTTGTGAACTCAGGGTTCAAATCTGGGTTTAATCCAGGTTTAATCTGGGTTTTATTTCAGGTTGGTTGTATGTTCCAAATGGCAGTGGTTGCTGGTGAAAAGCTGGTGTATTCTGTCACTTCATCTGTGTCACTGCTGGTTGGTTGGGTAGATAGTAGTAAACCAGTAGGAAACTGGAAAAAACAAACATTAGAGGGAAAAAAGTGGAGAAACAATGATTACAAAAATGTGTAATATCGTTTAACAAGAAAGCAAACACATACACGTCTAAAGATACGCAACAGGCAGAACCCAATTACGCTAATCCAACAGAAGAAATTAGACCATGTGGAGCTTTTACAAACGCGGGTCTGATCAATCGGAGGACCAATCAGGGATCAATCACAGCCTATCAGCTGATGACACATTGATCGGGCTGCGGAGCGTCTCTCCGTGGCCACCTACAAAGAAGCGTCATCAAAAGAGCAATCCTCAAGATTAAACAGAGCTTTTCTGCAGACATAAGTTCTTGATCCCACGAGTCATGTGATTCGAGTGTCTCCCAGGAAAGTGCTAATCCAGACTTTAACACTGGGCATGAGGGTTTGTCTGGGTCTCTCTGGTCTAGGCTGCTTACCTTCCAATCCTCTTGGCTAACCTCTGTGGCACTGTCTTTCACCTGACTTAATACCCCCGCAGCCTCAACACTCAGCTGATAGTGCCACACAAGAGGAGGCTCTTTGTAAACACACTGCTGCTGCTCTTCCAGACATCTCTAGAGGCACAGGCTTAAAACCAACTCAGCGGGCTCCTTGAACTTTTGACTGCTTTGATTGAGTGCGTGTGTTTGTCAAGCTGCTGCGTCAGCGCTGTCTGCCATTCTTGATAGTATTATTTCATACAACTTTAGGCAGTTTACGCATGACGCGAGGAAGATCTTACAGATCAAAATGTTGCCTTAAAAAAAAAAGAAAAAGAAGTGTCACTTTTTATTTGGAGCCTAACAGTGTGCAGGCCCCCTTTATGCCGTGCATTATTCACATAAACCACATGTTGCCACATGAAAGGCCAGCTCTATGCTGGATTTTGCTAAAAAAAACAAGGTATAAACTGAAACAAAAATAACCGTCTCAATCATCATTTGTGACCCACTAAAAGTGAGTGACGCTGTCCCGTTTCTACAGACACCCTGCTGCCCCCTGCCTTTCTTCTTGTGCCTGGGCGTCAGCAAAGAGTCTTCAGGCCCGTTCTCATTCCCAGGTCGTCAAATAATGCCGCTGTCACGCCCCTCACCGCTCGCCTTCTAATACCGAGGCCCCCTTTAGCTTCTGTGATACAAAGTGATGGTACACATGGCGTAGTTTCTACGAGCTTCAGTGTTTCTCCTTGCTCGTTGTCTCTGTCCTCTGCTGTGTGCAGAGTGTGCTGCACACATCAGAGGACAGGAGGCAGCGACAGGGTGAAGCCTGTCCTTCGGCTGCAATTATTCAAAATGTGGCACCTTCCCGTATGGTGGTGCAGAGGTGTGGGTGTGTTTATTTGGATGAGGTCAGAGCAGAGAGAATAAAGAGATGCTTGCTACCAAGATTTATAGTGTCAAAAGTTAACAAATGTTGTGTCTTTACTCTCTTCTCCATCTTTAAGGAATAGAAGAGCTGGACCAAGTGATCGTAGTGCTCTTCACCACACACATGTTCATCGGAGGATTCTTCGGGTTTATCCTTGATAACACGATTCCAGGTACGTCAAAATGCTTTTTACTGTTAGTCTCAAGTAATAACCACACAAGCCATTACATCACTATCAGCTAACGTTGCCTTTTTTTTCTTCAGGCACCGACAAAGAGCGGGGCATCAAAAGCTGGCAAGACCAGGTGCAACAGGGAAGCAAAAACTATTGTGACGAGTCGTGCTACGATATCCCGTACTTAAACAGTGTTTTTAAGCGCTTTAGATGTTTCCAGTACCTGCCCTTCCTCCCTTCTTACAAGACCACCCAACAGGGGACATCTTAGTAGTGAAGTGTTCATTTCCAGGGTTGCATTGATGCTGGCCTGTCAGCCCCATGAAATCAAACAGTTAACAGTAGTTAATATAAATACCTAAATCTAATCCATGTGTCTTCTTTAGGAATCCCAAGTTCAACACGTTTGTCCTTGTGGAGACTAAAACATTGACTGATTGAGTTTGTAGAACAAAGTCGAGGTGCTGTGTCTCCTTACTGTTGGAATTCAAAACAAAAACCTTCTGGGTTAATAGAACATCTGTAGTGCCTGAACAAGCAAAGAGCAGCATTAAACCACTTATGAGGAATCATCGCTCCTCACCAAGAGCTTACATAGACATTAATGAGACACTCCTCTAGAGTGTACGATATGTTTTAATTAAGATTAAACATTTTTTTTTACCTCTTTCAGCATGCATAAAGTCTTTAAAGTACACATGTTTCAGTCTTTTTTTTTTTACTACAGCCGATTGATCTTAAAATAAAATGACCGTACACACTGTTCCAATTCAAAGTCAGACGTAAAGGCTGAGTTACTATTCAACTGATGCGTCATCAAGCTGCTCAATAGCCACTCTTCAGGTGTTACGAATGTGTAGTAGCGTTTTGAGTAGAATCATTGCTACCTCATCAAGAACAGAAACAGATGGTTAATGGAAAGCTTTTTCATATTATATAATTAATAATGATTTTAATATTATAATGTCTGTTCTGTTATCATTAACATTATTGAGGTTACTGCTTCATACATTTCATTATGTGTTTTGACACTGTATAGAAGAACATCTTTTTTTAATTGTTTTTACATGCGACGCTTTTGCATTTTCAGATATATAGATATATGCAATTTTACAAATTTTTGTACCATAATTTTCAAAAAGTCCTAAATTGCAATGGGTTGTTGTTAAATAAATTCTGATGTTAATATAGACTTTACTATGTAACTTGTTCAACTTGAGATGTAAAGCTTCCACAGGTTTTGAGAATAAAAAACACATAAATCCATGAAGTTCGAAAGCACAGGTTATAACATGTTAAAGAGTATGAGAGTAAGGGGATTGGTCACTAAGTATAAAGGCAAATTACGTATGCTTGGCTCACGTACTCCATAGGGTGTTAACCTACTTTTATTATAGTTGTGAAGCCATTTCAATCTAAACCGCAAAATTTGAACCTGCTGGCGACACGTGGAAAAGTCAGGGGATCATCGAAGTCAGCAGGCTTAATCCTCTGGGGACCATGACTCTCTCCACAACATGTCATTACAATCCATTGCATGTAGAAGTCTTTATGCAACAAAGTGTTGCCAAACGAAATGCAGTTGTAGCTACACAAGAAACACTCGACAAAACAAAAACATCAGGATAAATGTTAACAGCAGCAACAAAACAATCCTCTGATCAATATGGCCAGCGTCTTAATATTGAAAATTCAACATCTGGGAAACATTCTCCATCAACTTTGACTATGTTTCAGCAGCAAGCATCATACATGTAAACAAAGAGTCCGCCTCCGGAGTCCCGGTGTATTTTGGGTTTCTACTAAAACATGTTAACATGGTTTTATGTTCAAAAATAAGCAATATTTTTCACATTGTCTGCCTGCATACACCTTGTTTCACCCTCCGTCTGATAAGAAGAGGATGGTGTGATCATGACATATTGCGTATTTTAATGAGTTTGCCTACTTTATTGAAAACATGCAGTGAATTATTTGTACAGGAGTTGTGCTTTTTAGCCCACACAGTCTGTAAACACTATTGATTAGGTTCAGGCATTGACTTTGAATGGTTAAGAATAAGAAACATGTATGTGATGTGAATGCGTGCGGCTCTAAAACCAAAGTTGTTTTAGTATAAGGAAGTATTGCCTCCGGCAGCTGAGTGGCAAAACATAAAGATTTTATCTCTGTCAACAACCATCACGTTCATCCCCGTCTACCTGAACTAATACGTCCTTCACAGACCTCAGTACCCGACACACCCGGTGAAATCATTTATCCGCCAGAGTGACACAGACAAATTGTAGTAATTACGTCCTAATTTTAGGAGCCCTTTATTACACTTTGTTAAATTATGACATCCCATCAAACCATCGTGGATACAAATTTCAGCTAATGAAAGTGAATGGAGGGAGTGTGTAAACCGAAAGCTTTCTTTTTGTCTCCACATGTTTTGGCATTTACAAATTCTTGTCTTTTAAAAACAAGCTTAGAAGTTTATGTTCGACTGATGTTTTGTCTCACTCTTCATCCCTCACTGATGTATGAAAATCTCTTCCTTTCTTGGGATTAGGGTCTATATCGTACATCCGACTGTACAGATTTACCTCTCGGGTGCTTCTTCGCAGAGAGTTTAAGACATTTGGGGTGATGAAAAAGGTCTCTGCAGTCTCCTGATCAGGCGTATCATCTTTCAACAAAGGTCACAGACTTAATCCCCTGTGGTATTTACTGTGCCTATATACTATGATAACAAACGTTGACGGGAAGAACTATGCAAAACATTGATATTTCCAGAACCTTAAAGATAATGTAGGTAAGCTGATCGAAATACGAAAAGTGGCCTTTTAGCGGCTTTTATGCCATTCTGTAGCTTCCTAGTGTTTCTAATGCATTAAAATAGGAATATTCACATTTCGGTTGACGTTTTAATGTCAAAATGCCATTTTCCCAATCCCTCCTAAAAACCTTTCCCCACATGATCTGACACAGGTTTCTGCATGACACATATTCAGTGTATGTCCATCCTTATAGTCAGTGCAGTGGCGTATGCAGGCATCACAGTGTTGGTGGGCAAAGGGTAAATCAGGTGGGCCTGGCAAGTCCAGGACCATTCAAAGGCTACTTAATTGCGCTCTCACACCGTTAGCCATCGCAGCTATATATGCTTTCCTACATGCACCAACAAGACAAACGCTAACAGTGTTGTATAACCTGGCACCGTGCCATCATTAAACACACGTATGGTTGGAGGTTCACCGGCACCAACATACGCAGTAAATATTAATTTTGACTTAGCCGTGGGCGGCTGCCACATAAAACACACATGCAGGCATTCGCAGATGACAAATGTAGCAACATCAGCATAAAACGACGTCAGCGTTACGCACCCAACAAAAACGATGAACCCAATGAACTATAATACGGAAAACCGGCCACTACAGTCCAACAATTATAAGTGAGCTTACTTTTGATGGTTACAGCAGGAGACGACAGCGCTTTGTGTTGAACACTGAAATGATTTCATTGTAGTCTCTTTCAAAGAGCAGGGACAAAGTGTTCAGTCTGTATGAAGCCCTGATCCCAGTTTCTCTCCGACTGACACTTGAATTGTTCAGCGGTATGTTACAGTGTTTTTTAGTTACAGTAAAAGGGTTTAGTTGGCACCTGTTGAGGAGAAACTGCCGCAGGAGTTGGCCCTGGTTGAGAATGACGACTAAACTTAAGTTGAACTCTCTTCCTCCTGCTGCTCACGTCGACTTTTTGTGACAAACGTAAGCAAACTGCTTTGTCTCACCATCATTTTTTTTATTTTATCCAACCTACATTAAAAGCAGCTAGTGTAAATTAGGCCTCTGTTCCTCGGTGCAATGTTGTGGTTTAACGAGGGACCGTGTGATCTGGTGACTTTCAGCGAATGCATTCGTGTGCTCATAGTAACTTATGTAAATGGTCAGTGTAGATGATGAACCCAGAGGAATATTTATTTCAAATTGATTAAGTAAAATGCAAGGCTTTGTGTTTGTGTTTTCAACGGCTGCCGCCGCTACGACCAACCGCTAGACATTCGGCCGAGAGACACCGACTAACAGGTTCAACTTAAGGGGCTGCTCGCAGTCTGGCACTTGCTAAATGCACTGCTAACTTTTTTTTTTCATTTACTTCTCTTCACTGGATGATCCAGCGAATAAGTAAATCCTCTGACTGGGTGGGACGGAGTGCCAAGTGGGTAGACCCAGGCCCGCACAGCTAGGCGGCAGAGTCAGTGTAACTTACAGTAACTGTTTTGAGAAACAGACAGGAGTACCTGCAGCGAGGCTAAGCAATGCACTGCTGTCACACCAAAACCCACAAAACAAACTCAGCGATCAAGGCAGCGGTAAACCAGCAACTGCAAGGTGAAATGACAGTTTTTGTCAATGGTGTCTTGTGGCTTTGAAGACAGCGATTTCACAGATTTCCTGTTTCCTCTCATCTCTCTAGGTTCCCTCTGCTCTCCTCGTGTTAGGTTTACTCACTATACGTGGATGACTTGCTTCTTTTATACACCTGAAACTACATCTTAGCTGCCAAAAATCTTGTAAAAACATTAGGTTAAGGTAAACACAACATGGCAATGTCTCTAATTATAGCCCCTATTTCTCTGTCTCCCTGTAAAATGGGGTCGCATATGTGGGGTCACATATGCGAGCACCATATGTGAAAGCCATGTGACAAGTGCCAAGTTTGTCACCAAGCCCATCACCTGGTCAAGGAACAGGCCAGTCGCGCTGATAAATATTTAAGATGGTTTGCGTAGCCTTGCAAGTCAGTTGGCGCAAATCTAACAGGATTACTAAAATCGAATCAGGATTTAGCTGTATCGACAGATGCAAGTGTGCATTAGGTGAAGAGGCACCATCACCCACAATGTTCTGTACTTGAAGGTATTAGAGAAAGGTTTAATCATCCACTGGAGACGTGAATATTCTTGGATGTGTGCCACCTCTGAGCTGAAGAAGGTTTTTCAGATTTCTGGATAGAAAAGTTAAAGGTGGAAAATACTCAACTAAGCCTTTCAAGTCGATGCACAGAAACTTATCAAGAAGAAAATCAGCTCCAGTTTTCTTCATTCGCTGTAATTAACACTAACCATGACAAAAACAATTTTATTTTAGAAATACTCCTTAAAAGGAAGTAGAATCATAGCAACTTCTGCACAAACTTTATATTTTTCACCTAAAGATTTGACTTTGTTGTAGTGAACGAAATGAACCCAAATTGAAAGCTTAAAGGGGACATATGCTCATTTCAGATTCATACGAGTATTTTGGGTTTCTGCTCGAACATGTTTACGATCAAAGCGTAGTGTAAAACATATTATTCCACTCACACTGTCTGTCTGAATAGACCTGTATTCACCCTCTTTCTGTTTTAGCGCCTGTCTCTTTAAGACCCCCTCCAGAAAAAGCCTACTCTGCTCTGATTGACTGGAGAGAAAAATACAGTGTACCTTTGTGAAGGTAGTTCTCAACCCGCGGATGGAGACTAGGGGAGGTATATTCTAATGAGTCTGCATGTGACATATGAAGGGGAGCCAGATCTGATTGGTTTGTTGAATCACATGTTTTTCTGATCTTGGAAGCCCACAACAAACTGACGGAGTTGTCTCATTTTACAGTTTGTAGGTTGGTAGGCACTCCAGATACACAACATGTATGTGCACAAGCACTGATATCGTGAGCTTTTCATGATATCTCCCCTTTCACAAAGTTCACACTTGACTTTTTAAAACAGACCCATTGAGCTGGAAGCATACAAAATACTATTCTAAATTTATGTTCGATTTAAACACTAAGTTTGTATATTGTTTTAAAAAATGCACTTTGTTGTCGACACACTGAATCTCAGCCCCCTATTGAGTAGGTTTGATACCTTATTTAAGTTTCAGACGTAAATTTAAGAGGACACAAACAACGGTTTCCTGGGTGAAAGTCCTGTGTTTGTTTGAGCCATCCCTCTACCGTCTTCCTCCCTACACAAATGGAGGAAATGGGTTTCCCTTAAAGCTAACTGGACAATGCAGTTTTGTTGTACGGAAACATCATTTTTAGGAGACCAGATTGCCTGACCGCAGCTCAAGAGCTCAGGTTTTACCTGGAAATGTAAGAATCCACAAACCGCATCCATATACAATGAGTTCAGATTTCACTTTTCTTTTATGTTGCACTTATTTAAAGTCACTCTTTTCCCTTCTTTAATCCAAACTCAGCACCCCACAATGACGATGCTTAAACAGCATGAAAGATTTTTGCAAATTCAATAAAGATATCTCATTGACATAAGTATTCAGACCC